CGATGATGAGCGACTCCACCTTCTCTTTATCAGACACTTCCACCCTTTCAGGGACTTGAGTGTTCTCGTGTCGAACGCTTCCTTCCTCCCCACCTTCATTATYCTTAAGTCTGTCACCCAACATTTCTTTAAGCATATTTGGCAACGTATTCCGGAGGACTTGTGTTATTTGTTTTGCCATTACTTCCTTTGTGAGAGGAATTTCTCCTCCTTGGTCCCCTTGGCTCCTACCGATAGCCAAACTAGCTGGCGCGGATGGGGTCGTACTCAAACTAGCAGTTTGGACACTTCCACGACCTCAACTTTGGGCTCGTGTCCGTCCCCGAACTATCGGTTGGGCTACGCCATTGATACCTCCCCCATTGAGGGCGTTCCTTGTTGATCCGYGAGAAACCATACTGACACAATAGAGTATTATTGTTTCAACATAGTTCTAGAGTCGACTTAACATATTACACTTATGTATATACATTATACGTATACATATGCATATATAGTATAATCACTATATATCAGCGAAGTACATGATAAGGAATTCACGTCGCAATTGCATAATGCTCCAAAAGATATATACATATAGATATATATATATATATTTCGTTCCAATACAATCCTGGGGAGAGAGAGACATTACAAAATCCCATTTACTTACAAAAGATGGGATGCTTCAAGGTTCTAAACACAAGTAAATGTACCAAAGATCTATCGTAGCACTGCCTAGAAGAAAACTACCTAAACACGTACAATTAATTCACCTACTCAAAAGATCCTCCTCTCATCCCTGATCCCATGTCTAACTGATCTGTAGGATAGTAAGGGAGATAAGGGTCCCTTACCCATTCTTCAAATGATGTGGATGGCCTGGAGCGCCACCACACACTAGCCCTTGGGCCATTCTTGATGCATCGGACCCATTCGGAGAAATAACCCCTCACTACACCAGCATAGTCTACRGTCATTCTCTTATAGAAGTGAACTATGTCTCTGATTCTAGTGCCTACTGGGGTAGCAGCAATTCTCCGCGTCCGCGTCTGATAGACCTGGTGTGAATGGTGTGAACCATGTCTCCTACAAGTCATAAAAGGAACACTATGTCGGATAGTAACGTAGGATCAAACTTAGTCGTATGATAAGTAATACTAATACGCCATAACATGCGTTCTAACAATCCTCTTGGTTTAAGCTTAGGCTAAGTAAATCATAACCTAATTACCTTAAACTAAAGCTTCTAACAATCCTCTCAGTTTAAGCTTAGGCTA